CGAATACTTTTTTTTTTTTTTGGCATTGCTGGTAAAGAGTGACAGTAATAAGCATGCTCCACTGTCATGTTACATGCGATAAACAAAGTGAACAGGATTTGCAGGAAGTTTCTGACACCGCCGCGACACAATACAAACATTTTGTGCAACTGTACCAAAGGAAAATTAGACAGCGGCACTCAACTGATGGCTAATTCTTTTCGGCGTTGGCTGGTTTATTTCCCCATCACCTGAAAAAGCTTCTTTTTTTTTTTTTTTTAAATGAGCAATATTATTTAGTTAATCGACAAATCGACAAAGTGGATTTCTTTTTACGTACCCAGACAACCCGAAACTAAAGGGTTTTTTTTTTGTTGTTTTTTTTTAATTCTTAAACTAGTCCCAACACCAATTTTGTGTTGCAGTTGGAATTTTCCATATGAGCGAAGAAAGCTAACGTGGCTAACAATGTTTTCATGATACAAAAAAAGGCTACGAGAGGCTGTTTTTTTGGGGGGGGCGGCTAATGTGGCTAATGATGTTTTCATGATACAAAAAAAAAAAAGGCTATCAGAGGCTGGTTTTTTTTTTGTTTGTTTTTACAGCTAACGTGGCTAATAACGTTTTCATGATACAAAAAAAAAGGCTAAGAGAGGCTGGTTGTTTTTTGACAGTTTACGTAGCTAATAATGTTTTCATGATACAAAAAAAGGCTAAGAGAGGCTGGTTGTTTTTTGACAGCTAACGTGGCTAACAATATTTTCATGATACAAAAAAAAGGCAAAGAGAGGCTGGTTGTTTTTTGACAGCTAACATGGCTAACAATGTTTTCATGATACAAACAAAAAGGCTAAGAGCGGCTGTTTTTTTTTTTTTGACAGCTAACGTGGCTAACAATGTTTTCATGATATAAATAAAAAGGCTAAGAGAGGCTGTTTTTTTTTTGACAGCTAACGTGGCTAACAACGTTTTCATGCTACAAAAAAAAGGCTAAGAGAGGCTGGTTGTTTTTTTTGACAGCTAACGTGGCTAATAATGTTTTAGCGATACAAAAAAAGGGCTAAGAGGCTGTTCTAAAGTTTTGTTTTTTTTTAAATTCTTAAACTAGTCTGCCCTTGCTGTCTTTCTTCATCCCGGATCCGCTTTTTTTGCTTGTTAACTTTTTTTTTTTTCTTCCCGACCTCCTTCCTCCCTTTCTTTCCTCCTTCCTGCCTTCCTTCCCTTTATTCATGGTCCCCTGACGTCCTTCCTTCCGTTGCTTCAAACGACTTTTCAGCCCTCTTTCCTTTCCTCCCGGCCAAAATAAGAGTTGATTAAAAAAAAAAAAAACCCTCCACTCTGTCTTATAAATGTTGCTTTCACTGAATACAAAACAACATTGGCGGCATTGTAAGTCATTCAGGCATCGTTAACTGAGGTTGAACTGCGTGGATCTTCCACAAGTTACGACAAGCTAATCGCCGTTTCACCCAAGTGTCATTCGAATGAGATGAAATATCACCACGTTAAAAGTATGCAAAAGATTTTGACCTCTCTCGCTATTGTCGATGCTTGCGTTTCATTGTGGGGAAGGTGGCGCACAAAATGCTGACTTAGCTTGAACGTGTTCACTTTGAGTGCACGCACACAAGAGCGGGGCGGAAACAGGCACGATTTTTTTTTCCCCCCTTGTTGACGTTGTTCGCAAATATATCAAGCATGGAAAAAAAAAAAAGTGAACAAAAGGAAGAGTTGGAAGGGGCCTACAAGAGCTGGCGTGCTCCGGGTTTCTTCACAACAAACAATCAAGAACAGGTCATGCTACTTCCTGGCCATAAAAAGCTGCGTGCCATTGATGATGCGTTTTATGTTTGTTTGGACTGGACGCAGTCCAGTACTGCTGGATGGGGACAAGCGCTTTCAAGAGCGCGTATATATGACACAAGGGGCTCCGGGGGGTGGGGGGAAAGTAAAAGTGTGTGTCTGTGAGCGCTTGTATGAGCGGAACAAGCAAAGGGGATGTACGCCGGTGAGGAAATGACTCGCTCGCATGGCCACATGTCCCTGAGTCAGGGTGTCACAAAGTCCCTAGTGGACCTCCTTCTCCCTCTTAATTATTCCCTCTTCCTCCTACTCGGCTGAGAACCCCCCACCTCCCCAGCCCCTCGTCTTCTGAGATAGCGACGCCAATGTCCGCCTACTTCTGCTTTGAGAGGCAAGGCAAACATTTACCAAAGAACGGCGTTTGGAGCAAAGTCCCAGCTGTACTGATAGAGCTGTGTTTGTTTTTATTTATCCAGCTGAAGCCCGTTCACACCGCGATGGCCAAGGCACATGTGGCACGTCGAGTACAAGTGTGTATATTTGCGCAGCGCTCGACTGCCTCGACACAACGGTGGATGTCTGAGTGATGGTTCCGACACCAAGTTTGTGTTGCCATTGGAATTTTCCATATGAGCGAAGAAAGAGAGGCTGTTTGTTTTTTTTGTTTTTTTTTTTTAAATGGCGGCTAAAGTGGCTAATAATGTTTTCGTGATACAAAAAAGGCTAAGAGAGGCTGGATTTTTGGGGGGGGGGGGCGGCGGCTAACGTAGCTAATGTTTTCATGATACAAACAAAAAGGCTAAGAGTGGCTGGTTGTTTTTTTGACAGCTAGCGTGGCTAATAATGTTTTAGTGATACAAAAAAGGCTAAGAGAGGCCGTTTTTTTGTTTTGACAGCGAACGTGGCCAATAATGTTTTCATGATACAAGAAAAGGCGAAGAAAGGCAGTTTTTTTGGTGACGGCTAATGTGGCTAATAATGTTTTTGTGATACAAAAGAAAGGCTAAGAGAGGCTGTTTTTTATGGCTAAAGTGGCTAATAATGTTTTCATGACGCAAAAAAAGGCTACCAGAGGCTGTTTTTTGTTTTGACAGCGAACGTGGCTAATAATGTTTTCATGATACAAGAAAAGGCTAAGAAAGGCAGTTTTTTTGGTGACGGCTAATGTGGCTAATAATGTTTTTGTGATACAAAAAAGGCAAAGAGAGGCTTTTTTTTTTTTTGACAGTAACGTGGCTAAAAATGTTTTCATTATAAAATTAAGGCTAAGAAAGGCAGTTTTTTTGGTGACGGCTAATGTGGCTAATAATGTTTTTGTGATACAAAAAAGGCAAAGAGAGGCTTTTTTTTTTTTTTTTACAGCTAACGTGGCTAATAATGTTTTCATGATACAATTAAAAGGCTAAGAGAGGATTTTTTTTGGGGGGGATAGCTAACGTGGCTAATAATGTTTTCATGATACAATTAAAAGGCTAAGAGAGGATTTTTTTTGGGGGGGATAGCTAACATGGCTAATAATGTTTTCATGATACAAAAAGAAAAGTGACATAGTAGGCCCAAGTGTTCATCAAAAATAAATTCGTATAAGCCGCTGCCATTGTGAAATGTCAATTGATTAAAAACCTTCCACAGATCTGAAACACGTTAAAAAAATGTCAATAGTACGCTAACTGATTCGGTCTATTATCTGCTCATGAAATGCTACCGTTAGCCAAAAATGTCGACCGTCATCGGTCACCTTGTTGCTATTTGACTTTCGGCTTAAAAACCAGCGTGAGGACGCATGTCTAACAGCATCGCATCAGCCTAATACGATGAATGTCAAGTTCAACGGAAAATCTTACCTTATTTTTTTTAGTTACTGGTAAACGGGGACATCGTCTTAAGTGGTGGTCTATAAGACCATGTCGTACAAATTAAATGCGGACAACAGACAGACTGATGATCCCCCAATGTCGAGCATAAATGAGCCTTGAGACGTACAACTGCTTCTTGTGACTAAGGTGCACTCTTGCTGTCGCTCTTTTTTGGACTAATTGGACATCCAGTATGGTCCGGTGACGAAAAAGCAGTAGAAAAGCTTAAGTCGGCAATACGGAGCCCGGGCTCTTTTTTTTCAGATGAGCCCTTTAAGCTTCTCTGTAGGACGAACCTCATTAACCAGTCCGGTTGCCAGCGGAAAGTCAAGAGCTTCTGTAACGGCGACAACGAAACGAGATAGCGGTGATCTCATCGTGGCTCGTTCCCCTCATTCCCCCCCCCCCACCCCCCGGTGTTGCCTCGGCAACGAGCGCGCCTGTGTATCTGCATGCGTCTTCATTAGCTCTAGAATTGCCACTCGAGACACCACCGAGGGAAACTTGCGTGTGTCATCGCAAGATTGGGAACACACGGTTTTGAAACACATTAAAACATAAATCACGATATTCAAACCGCCCACACTCTCCATAAGAAGTTTAAAAAGTCCAAATCAAGAAAGAATTACATAATCAGCCAATATATCTTTCTGCTGTAAAGTTTAAGGAGAAATAATTGTCAGAGTCAAATGATTTGCATGTAATTAACATTTGTATTCTTGGAAATATTAAAGGACCAAAAAGAATGTTGGAAAGTGATTTAATTAATAGTGCGATTAATCGTCTATCTGAATTGGGACGTACCCCCCAAAAATTTGAAATTAGCCGGGCACGCTCGTGAGTTCAGTTAACCCTTTCAGGGGCAGCGGTTACTCGAGTGGATTTTTTTTTCCATGCCTAAAAAGGAATAAAAACACTTGAGTAAAACACTCCTGAGGTAGGTTCTCATTAATTGTGCGCAGAAGGCTTCATTTACACAAAACAGACTCATGACAGACCAGACCAGAACTGGAAAATCGAGAACACAACCTGTGGCCAAAATCCCCATTTTTTTTTTTTTTTTTTTTTACATTTGCATTTATTTTGCATGCTACTAAATTCGAGTGCATGGTAGCAAGTCGTGCCATCGTTTGGCTCATGAAAGCAAGCAACTGTCATGGAAGTGATTCGGAATGACTTTGCTATTGACCCATTCCGACCCTCTCTTTCATAGCCACGGTTAGACGAGTTATGTGACGTCCCAGAATAGGTACGGTGGCCCCGCTCTGAACTCTAGCCTAGTATCGGTTTCCTCTTCTGTTTGTCTTTCTACCCCCCCCCCCCCCCCATTGTACATCTTTGCGGCAACGCTCCCCTTCGTTATTTTTCTTTCCGTCCATCTTTCCCACATTGACTTCATAAGCCTACCGGTTGCGCTCTTGAACCTTCCCGCTGGAAGTTTCCTGTGCTGAAACGAAGCTCGAGCTGGATTACTTCCTGTCGAAACGCGTTGTGGGACAGGTTGTATTTTTTTTGGGGGGGGACCCTCCCCCTTTCGCCTTTTTCCTTCTCTCCCCTCGCCTGCGTGTTCTGCTCGTACTTCCTCCTTTGGGCTCGACACAGATGGCCGAGAGCAACATACCGGATCTAAGAGGGCTTTTTTGGCAGAGCGGAAAGCGCCGCTCGCTCTTTGGGCCCTCTGGAGTGAGCATGCCGGCGGCCCTGACCCCGTGACCCGCTGCCGCCTACCGGGCTTTGCTACCCAAACAAGTCACCGTGAGAGACTCATCCGCAGCTCACTCGGGCAGTGGGGTTTAACAAGTTTGAAAGAAAAAAAAAAAAGATGTAATTCCGACCCCCTCACCTCTGAATATTGCAAATTAATTGTTTTCAAGGTCCTGGTAAAAAAAACGAACAAACAAAAAAAAAAGGAAGAAAGTAACCTGTATTCCAAGTCATGACTGAGTAAAAAAAAAAATAAAAATAAAATAAAGAAAAAATAAATAAAATGATGTAATTCCGAACCCCCTCACCTCTGAATATTGCAAATTAATTGTTTCCAAGGTCTTGGTACAAAAACAAACAACAAAAAAAAAAAACAAGAAAGTAACATGCATTCCAAGTAATGGTTAGGTAAAAAAATAATAATAATAAATAAATAAAAGAAATGAAAAAAAATCATGTCATTCTGACCCCCTCACCTCTGAACAGGGGCGTCACTAGGTTTCAAGAACAAGGGGGGCTTAGCCCCAAGGGGAACACAGCCCCTTTAGGGGGGTCCGGGGGCATGCCCCCCCGGGAGAAATTTTTTCTACATTCTGTTAAAAATCCATCAATTCCGTGCACTTTGAGAGCAAAATGAAGAGGCTATGAAGAACTACACACATCACATGAGTATCCTCTTTACTATGATAGGGCTTCCTCCCCTGGACTTTAACTGGACTAGATAATAGAAATTATAAAGAGTTCAAAAGTTCAATCTTGGTTGTTCAAGGGAATTAGAAGGATGCCCGATAACATATAATAATAAATAAATAAATTAAATAAAAGAAAAGAAAAAAAAATGATGTCATTCCGACCCCCTCACCTCTGAATATTGCAAATTAATTGTTTCCAAGGTCCTGGTACAAAAAGAAACAAACAAAAAAAAAGCAAGAAAGTAACCTGTATTCCAAATAATGATTGAGTAAAAATAAACAAATAAATAAATAAAGAAAAGAAAAAAAATGATGTAATTCCGACCCCCTCACCTCTCAATATTGCAAATTAATCGGTTCCAAGGCCTTAGTACAAAAACAAACAAACAAACAAAAAACAAGAAAGTAACTTGTATTCCAAGTAATGGTTAGGTTAAAAAAAAAAAAAAAAAAAAACGATGGAAAAAAATGATGTAATTCCGACCCCCTCACCTCTGAATATTGCAAATTAATTGTTTCCAAGGTCCTGGTAAAAAAAACGAACAAACAAAAAAAAAAGGAAGAAAGTAACCTGTATTCCAAGTCATGAGTGAGTGAGTGAGTGAGTAAGTAAGTAAGTAAGTAAGTAAGTAAGTAAGTAAGTAAGTAAGTATGTATGTATATA